GCAAGTTGAAACGTTGCTTAATTCATCATATAAACGACGAGCTACAGTATTTCTGTTCTCCTAATGTCAGTACTTAATGCCTGCAAAATGAGATCTGTGCACCAGACAGAGACACTGGAAGAATCTGAGGAATCCTAAAGTTTGCAGGAATATGGAAAAAGAAGGCCCTCAAGAATCCCCTCTATGGAGGAGAACTTGCTCTAAAACAGCTCAGTGAGGACTGGACATTCTCTTTGAGCATGGGATGTTGAGTGGCTGTTGAGAAATAAAACATAAAACAGGGATGGGGAAATGAACTGGAAATTCTGGGATGCAAATACAAAATGGGAGCACTCCACTTGGTTTCCTTTGCTGAACTGATACCATGGACAGGATTCAACATTTTGCTGCATGAGGTAAAGGACAAAATGGTGACCCTAGGTCAAAAACCAGATGCTGACTGCACTGGCAACTCAAACTTACTTTAGCACAGGCTGTGCAGTATCATTACCCACCACATCAGAGGCAGTAGGCTAGATTAGACTATAGGTTGTAGGACAACCCTGGCAAATAGCAATTTTGTTTTCCAACAGCTGACAACTGATAATGGGGAAGCCCTGAAAAGCTGCCACTTCATCCTCACAGCATCTGTTGCCTGGGGCAATAATCTCATTTTTCCTCATGGTAGGGCTGGCCATAATGACAAATGTAGCATGGAACAGATACATTGCATGGTCAGCTAAAAAGCACCAATTGGTGGAGAATCGAGAACAAATAACCATGCTTTCACTCCATTCATGCTCTGAATCCATTTAGATATCCAGTGCTTAAGAAAAATGTATTCAGATTGAGCACAACATTATTTTCATAGTTAATACCAAAGAAGAAAAGTCGCCCTGTCAGAATATAGTACTTGCATAATTACAAAGGAACAGGACTTTGGTGGTTCAGTATAATCATAATCCAAAAACAAAACAAACTACAGTACACAAAAACCAAGTCAAACCAAACCACAATCACCTACTTACATGTCCTCCTGTAGTCTGAGTTGTTTTTTAAGGTCTCTCATGCATGTGGTGCACTAGTCTAATCACAAACTGCTTAACATATAAAATCTAATGTGATCACAGCATGAGATACTTTGGCTTGCGGGCATTAGCCTGTATCTTTTCAGTTGGAAAGGTGAAATATCAAACATTAGTGTGTCATACGTCGACTAAGAAAGAACTGAGAGTGTCTGCATTATAAGCACAGTTAGTACTGTGCATCATACTGTACATTAACAATAAACATACATACAACCCTAGAATAAAGATAAGGCATCATTAAATTACTCCATCTTGCATTCTGTTTTAGTAATATTGAGAGTATCCCTATCACGTAATTTGAAAAGTCTGGACAATTATATTCCAGCTGTCATACTTGAAACAGTACTACTAGTTTACACAAGGGCTGGAATCTTGTTTCACAGGTACGTAAATAAGACCTAATCTGAAAATAAGCCCTGGTATGATTTTTCAGGATGTTCGTAATATAAGCCCTGCCCCAAAAATAAGCCGTAGTTAAGTGAAACCCCGCCCTCCACCATTGTGCAGCATTCTGCAGCAACCAGAAGATGACATGACTATAAAATAAAACATCCCCCGAAAATAAGCCCTAATGAATTTTTTAGAGCAAAAATTAATATAAAACCCTGTCTTATTTTCGGGGAAACATGGTAGAAGTGAATTGTTGTAAATTAAGAAATCTCTGTAGGCATTGTCTTTTCCATATTGAGTAGCATGGCTCACTGTGCAACAGCTATCTATGGAGATTTTTAATTTATCATAATTTGCTTCAAAAAGTTATTCTGATTGTGTTACTGTGCAACGGGATTTCCACCAATGTAAAAGAATTAGAAGTTGCGTTATCTGACAGACGCACACTGGTTAGAAGCCTGTTGCTTAGCAAAAGCCAGATAATTACTTTTGATCTATTCCTGCTTAGTAAAAAAAAACTCCCGGCCACAGTTCTTGGGGGTGTGGCCACACTTTGAGAATCACGGGGGTGGGGGGGAGGACATTTTATTTGTCAGTGATAAATGGACCAAAAGTTCCAATTTGACTTATGCTAAGAAACATGATTTCAGTCATTCTTTTATTTGACAGCCTAAATACTGCTGTTGTGAACCAACTTATTGGCTTCCTTTACAATTCATAACTGAAACAGTGGAAATCCATAAAGTGTGCCCCTTATATAAGATGGCTTAACTGCTCATTAGCAATTTTAAAGGCAATTTTTGAAAAGTTTATATCAAACAATGCTTATACGACTTGCAATAGGCAGGAAAGTACATAATTACCAGAATAATGACAAGCAATGCATTTTTAAAATTATGGCTGGGACCAGGGCTGGTGCCAGGCTTTTTGCGCACCCTAGGCAAGACTAACTACTTGCACTCCTCCCCCAACCAATTTTCAAAAATAGACAAATTGTAGGAAAAACAAAGCACAAAAGTTGAAATTGTGAAAATGTTTATTTAAAAAAACCTGAGAGAACAAGTAATAGAACAGTCTTCAATTTTCTTTCTCAAATACAGAACAGTTTTAGCACACAATTCATTTTGAATAATCCAATGAACTGTAATGTCTCTTAAATGCTTCTATTTTTGCCACATCAAAATCTCATTTTGTGTGCCTTTTCTTTTACAAATTTTGTCACTGATTCCTTCAGGTCAATGGCTGATGCTTCAACATGTTCAACTGGTATAGTTGCCAAGCCAACTAGTCTACTTTGCAGCATTGTTGAGAGTAAATACAGTATGTTTTCATAAGCTTCAGCTTTGAGAAACTACGTTCACCATTAGCCGCTGACACTGGAAGTGTGAGAAGGATCTTTAGAAACAGAAACATTAGGTACACTATCCAGGAGTTTTTGTTGCACTGTGAAGAGAAGTACTTCTTGTTGTGGCATAGACTTTGGAAGTTTTTGAGTTATTGCTATAAATTCACAGCACTGATCTTCAGCATTAATATCTTTGTTTCCATTGTGCATCAATGATTCTTCTAAATTGTTGCAGGCCTTAAGTACATCTTCATTACATTTTTTGTTGATCTTGTACACCTCAGACAGGAAGCCAAACAAGGAATTATACAGTATTGTTGTAGCTGTTGGAATCTCTCTTCAACAGATTGTATGACCATGTCTAAGACAGTATACGTAATAGAAACTTATTTTGAATTTCTGCTTTGGATTTTGTGGTGCCTCCTCTTGTGCTTCATACTCAAATTGCTTTTTGTTCTCCTTTTTCTAACTTTTTCTGTCTAAAAGTTTGGTAGCATTTCTAGCTCCTTTGTAATCTCAGTAGCATCCATCAAAACTTGTTGAAAACCCGCATCACATCTACAGCCCACAAGGTAATTCTTAGTCACTTGCAATTGGCTTGTAGCTGAATTTAAATCGTTTTCCTTATTTTGTAATAGTTTGCTTGTAAGATTAATTTCAAAAAGAATGTTGTGCCATGTAACAAGGGATAGCACAAATTTGAACTTACAAATTGCATCAACAAGGGCCTTAGCTTCAATTCGAGAACTATTTCCAGATAAATTCTTTAGGCTTGTGTCATCAAAGATCTCTATTAAGGCATAATATATACTACCAAGATGATATCTCAGGGGTTTTAAAGCATTGATCCAACTCTCCCATCTTGTTTGACTCAGTGACTTAACAGTTATGCCTGATACATGGCTAGTTAGAATTTGCCAACGCCGAGTCGATGCAGATAAATAATTATAGATCTGTTCAATCAAACTGAAGAAACTTATTGCTTCCAGACAACATTTAGCGGCATCATTGACTACCAAGTTTAAAGAGTGTGCATTGCAGGGCACAAAAAAGGTATGTGGATTTATGTCCAGGACTCTCTTTTGTACACCATTTTCTTTGCCTTTTATGTTACTCCCATTAACATAACCTTGACCACACAGATCTGCAGTTGGTAATCCCATTTGCTCCAGCTGTCCAAGAAGATTTTCTGTCATAAAGGCACCTGTAGTGTCCTTCAGTGGAACAAATCCCCAAAACAAATCTCCTTTCCCAATTTTGAACCAATCAGTGGTTCCATATCCAGTTCTAACTTTTGCTTCCTGTCCCACATATGGTAGATTTCTCAGTAGATAGATAAGGTGGTCAGGCAGTCCCATTTCTTTAAGAAATTGCCAGTTTGCTGTGGTCCACAGTCAAAAGCTTTTGTGTAGTCAATGAAGCAGAAGTAGATGTTTTTCTAGAACTCTCTGGCTTTCTCCATAATCCAGCGCATGTTAGCAATTTGGTCTCGAGTTCCTCTGCCCCTTCAAAATCTAGGTTGTACTTCTGGGAGTTTTCGATCCACATACTGCTGACGCCTACCTTGTAGGATTTTGAGCATAACCTTGCTAGCATGTGAAATGAAACATCAGAGATTAGCTGGGTCTTAATAACAACGAATCCACACAGGAAGAGATAGGTAGAAATATGCCATTGTGGTAACCAGCCTCAACAACTAAGATGGCACTGGAGAGATTAAATCTAAATGAATTATAAATAAATAATGAGCGACCAAGAGGCCTAGAGTAATTGGAAAGTCAACTGCTCTTGATTTACACTCCAGAGATGTAAGCCTGGGTACACCTGACAAGAGAGTTAGCCTACCAAACATCGCCCTTCGCTCTGTGCGTGACACTTTAATAATATTGGCAACTCTCTTACTCAGACCTCGCTGTACAAACTCGCCGGCGCACAAAAACGTCAGAGAGAGCTGCAAAGCATTCTGGGAAGTGTATTCTTTTCAACTCCCCAATCCCTTTACCTTTCTTAGGAATTGACAGTGGAAAAGACTACATTTACCAATCGTTCTCGTGCAAAAACATTCCCCCCCCTTCGCCTGACTCTTGTTTCCTCCCCCCCCCGCAATGCAATGCATCACGGCATTGGTAGTTTTTTGTGCACCCTTAAGAGCGGTTGAGTAGCGTTCGGCTTCCTGATCAGATAAAACTACAGTTCCCGTCTGTCTCCACAAGTTGCGCTTGCGCCGTGTACGTGGAAGGCGGGAGGGGAAAGGCCGTTACGTTGTGGGCAACGGCCAGGGCAGTGAGGAGGCAATCAGTGGCGGTGCCGGAGGCTTCCGTGTTGGCTCTCGGGTTGGTGCTAGCGGTAGGGGGAAGGGAAGGTTCTGTCAGGCTCCGGCGGTCGGTCATTACGCGGGAGGAAGAGAAGGAAGGGATGAACCCGTGAGGGGACGCGAGCCGAAGGGAGCGAGGGAAGGAGACCGGCCGTCGGCAGGCAAGAGGCGGAGGAGAAGGAGACGACCAGGAGGAGGAGGAGGAGGAGGCGGAGGCGCGGAGAAATGTCTCAGCCGCCTCAGCAACATCCGTCTCAGCAGGAGCAGCCGCCCGTGGCAGCCCCGGTCTCGAAGAAGAGGGACCGGCGTATCTTCTCCGGGACTTGCCCGGATCCCAAGTGCCAGGCGCGCTTGTTTTTTCCGGCGCACGGGCCTCTGAGCAGCGGGAGCATCGAGTGCACGGACTGCGGGCAGCGCCATGAGCAGCGGCAGTTGGTGGGGGTGGAGGAGGTGACGGACCCGGACCTGGTGCTGCACAACTTGCTGCGGAATGCGTTGCTGGGGGTGAGCGGCGCTGGTCCCCCCCGGAAGAACACGGAACTGGTTAAAGTCATGGGCCTGTCCAACTATCATTGCAAACTGCTCTCTCCTATCCTGGCTCGTTATGGCATGGATAAACAGACTGGCAAGGCCAAGCTCCTGACGGAGATGAACCAGGGAGACGTCTTTGACTGCGCTCTTCTTGGGGACCGTGCCTTCCTGATTGAGCCTGAGCATGTTGACACGGTAGGTTATGGCAAAGATCGCTCCGGCAGCCTCCTTTATTTGCATGACACGTTGGAAGATATCAAGAAGGCCAACAGTAGCCAGGAGTGCCTCATCCCGGTCCATGTGGATGGTGATGGCCATTGCTTAGTCCATGCAATCTCTCGGGCGCTGGTGGGCAGGGAGCTGTTCTGGCATGCTTTGCGAGAGAACCTCAAGAAGCACTTTATAGAGAATCTCAGCCGCTACAAAGCTCTTTTTCATGATTTCATTGATGCCGCAGAATGGGAAGATATAATCAATGAATGTGATCCTTTGTTCGTTCCTCCAGAGGGTGTACCAATGGGCCTTCGAAACATCCACATATTTGGACTGGCCAATGTACTACACCGACCCATTATTCTCTTGGATTCCCTGAGTGGAATGCGTAGTTCAGGAGACTACTCCGCTACTTTCCTTCCTGGTTTGATACCTGAAGAAAAATGCATGGGGAAAGATGGCATGTTGAACAAACCAATCTGTATTGCCTGGAGTAGTTCTGGACGTAATCATTATATTCCTTTGGTTGGAATAAAAGGTGCTGCTTTGCCTAAATTGCCTATGAAATTACTTCCCAAAGCTTGGGGAGTACCTCAGGACCTTATTAAAAAATACATCAAGTTGGAAGAGGATGGTGGATGTGTGATAGGAGGAGACAGAAGTTTGCAAGACAAATACTTGATGAGGTTAGTTGCTGCCATGGAAGAAGTCTTCATGGAGAAGCATGGTATTCATCCGAGTTTAGTAGCTGATGTACATCAATATTTCTATAGACGGACAGGTGTAATAGGAGTTCAGCCTGAAGATGTCACAGCAGCTGCTAAAAAGGCAGTGACGGACAGCCGCCTTCACAAGTGTCTCATTTGTGGTGCCCTTTCAGAACTTCATGTTCCTCCAGAGTGGCTTGCTCCAGGAGGGAAGCTGTACAACCTGGCAAAAACGACTCACGGCCAGTTGAGGCCTGACAAAAATTATAGCTTCCCTCTTAACAGCTTAGTATGTTCCTATAATCCTGTGAAGGATGTACTTGTACCAGACTACAGTTTGAGTAATTTGACTGCCTGTAACTGGTGCCATGGCTCATTGGTGCGTCGTGTCAGAAGTGATGGCTCTGTTGTGTATTTGGATGGTGATAGAACAAACACTAGATCTACAGGTGGCAAATGTGGTTGTGGATTCAAGCATTTTTGGGAAGGTAAAGAATACGACAATCTCCCTGAAGCATTCCCTATTACTTTGGAGTGGGGTGGCAGAGTTGTGAGGGAGACAGTATACTGGTTCCAGTATGAAAGTGATCCACCCCTAAACAGCAATGTGTATGACGTTGCAATGAAACTTGTGACTAAGCATTTCCCTGGAGAATTTGGCAGTGAGATTCTTGTCCAAAAAGTTGTCAACACAATTCTGCATCAGACAGCCAAAAAGAACCCTGATGATTATACACCCGTAAACATTGATGGAGCTCATGCCCGAAGAGCTGATGATGTGCAACAAGAACAAGTCATGGAGTCTCAGCTTCCAACCAAAATTATTCTTACTGGGCAGAAAACAAAAACATTGCACAAAGAAGAGCTAACTATGAGTAAAACTGAAAGAGCCATTCAGCAAAACATTGCAGAACAGGCACCTGTTATGCAAAAACGAAAAACTGAAAAATTGAAACAAGTACAAAAGGCACCAACTAGAACTTCATCTCCAGGTGCTATTCCTGAAGGGTCATCCTCTGCTCCTGCCACCCCCACCAAGACACCATATTCGCCAACATCTACAAAGGAAAAGAAAATACGCATAACAACTAATGATGGGCGGCAGGCCATGCTCAATTTGAAGTCCACAACTACATTTCTAGAATTGCAAGAAAGCATTGTAAGAGAATTTAATATTCCTCCACATTTGCAGTGCATTCGTGTTGGCTTTCCTCCCAAAGAGCTTTTGCCACCCAAAGAAGGACAGGAAAATGAACCTGTCCCTCTGTTGCATGGAGACAGAATAACCGTTGAGATCCTCAAAGGAAAGGAGGATAGCAGCCAGACTACTTCAGTGCACTCAACCCATGCTGTGAAACATGATGATGCTGCAGTTACTAGTAAAATCTCTTCCAAGGAACTCCAAGAGCAAATTGACAAGGAAATGTACTCCTTGTGCCTTCTAGCAACGTTTATGGGTAAGTCAAAACTTAATTTTATTTTTCAAAGTACAGAAATGTATCTGAATCTTGAATTTTATGAAGCTAGAAATGCATACAGGGTCTTACCAGCTAGGATATTAGTGCAAGTTGGTGACATGGCCTTCCTGTGTGTACAGTTCCTCTTTCATTCTTTTTTTCTTTTTAAAAAGCCACCTTCTTTCCTACATGTTGCATTTATATGTATGAATTAACCTAGCAAAACAATATAGAGTTGGAAACAAACTTAATCATTCTTATAGTGCAGTCATTGAAGTAGACAGGAGTTGCTTATGTTGTTATCTATAGTGTTCCTATAATGTAGAAGGATGTACATTAAGAGATGTGTATCAACTTTTGGAATGTCTTCTGCCTTACACACATACAAAGAGGGGCTGGACTCAATGATCCATAGCATCCTTTCCTGCTCTGCAGTGCTAAGATGATGATGATGATGTCTTGCTAATTATCTAAAACAATAATTTTGTCTACTGGAAGCAGGCAAAATATTTAGTGATTTTGTAGAGTACAGTTCTTTGCATAGTAAGCTGGTGTTCTCAAAACAGTTACATTTGAATGCAAAATTGCTTGTCAAAGAACATATAAAAATAAGTATATTGACACACAGTTTGATATATCAAGTGTCTTTTTGCTACTGAGCTAGACCTAAGAATTGTAATATTTTAAGAAACCTTTTAAACAAAATTAATTGGCAGTGTTACAAATTCAGTCAATACCCTGTAACCTTTGCTATTAACTTGTAGGCCACATGACATCAAAAGTTCTGCTTGGTTTCCAGCTAACTGGTACAAGATGTATGTGTTTAAGGATTCCTTTGCTGCAACTAAAACTATTTTGATAATTAAAGTTTCCAGAATACTTTAAGAATTAGTATCTCTCTTATTATCATTCTCAGTGACATCATCTGTGTGGCTTGTATCTGAAAGTCTGTATGTTAAAACACTGATTAAAATGATACAAATTACTGTTTCAAAGAAAAGGGAAGTTTTCATCTGTAATTTTGTGAATAGAAAGCAGTGTTTCTACTCTTGGGAATGAAACAGAGTAGAAACAGGAAACAAAAGTAAAACGGTCAGGTTAGCTTGGCAAATCTTGCCATGGGTTTTCTGTAGTTGAGTAAATAATTAGTATCTTCTCAAAGTTAGATATGCTTCCTGCCTCCTCTTTCTCATCTGGAGTAGAAGGTGGTGGAAAGAAGAGAATATATGACCTCTTGCATGTTGGAAGGTCTCTAAGGAAAGGACAAGAGAAGCCAAAAGCCTGAAATAAACTGTGGGTTATTTTACAAGCTCCACTGCCATCAGCAGAAGAGGACAGTTTAAGAAGAAGCATTTCATGTCAGGAAAAATACAAGCAAACCATGATTCTGCTTTTCATATGACTGCAGTTTTTGCAGAGTCCAAACTTGAGAAGCCATGGTTTATTCTTATTGTGATTAGGGCTAGTCAGGATATCAAACCACTATTTAATTCTAGTTCATTAATGAATTACAGTTAGGGCAACCCACAGTTTTAGATTTAGATGCACAAGAAAATTGTAATTTGGAAACAGAAGCTTTCATTTTCCTCCTCAGACACAACTGGAATGGAAAGAGGGGAATGTTTGAAGTTCAACTATGTGCAATCTCTTCCATGCTCATTGTTATAGCAACACAATGTATTAATCTGAATCAGATATATATTTAAATTGTGTTGGGAAATGGCATATAATTTGACCTCAGTTACTTAAAAAGAAGTGTGTTCCTATCTGCAATCTTTTACTGAGAGTTTACTTAAATATTTATATCTTTCATTTCACTCAAAGATTTCTAAGGAAACTTACAAACAAAATTAAAACAATGCAACCAAAGAAATCATGGTCTTCAGTTCAGCTTCTTATTTAATAACTATGGCGACCATGTTGTCCTGATTCCTCTGGAAAAGGCATATGCAACCTGATACTCTCAAGGTGTCTATAACTCCCATAAGCTGCAACCAGTATGGCTTGTGAACAGAAGTTGTGGATTTGTAGTACAAAACAACTTATAGTTTCTTAATCATGCTCTAGAAGACAATGGATGAAATCCTACTGCATAGTTATACAAACAACATAACAATTAGATGCAAATTGCTGTGAATTAGGAAATCTCCATAAAGGGGACGTGGTTACGCTGCGGGTTAAACTGCAGAAGCCTCTATGCTGCAAGCTCAGAAGACCAGCAGTCATAAGATCGAATCCAAGCAACGGAGTGAGCTCCTGTCGCTTGACCCAGCTCCTGCCAACCTAGCAGTTCGAAAGCATGTAAAAATGCGAGTAGATAAACAGGTACCACCTCGGTAGGAAGGTAACGGCGTTCCATGTCTAGTCGCGCTGGCCACATGACCACGGAAACTGTCTTCAGACAAACACTGGCTCTAGGGCTTGGAAATGGGGAGGAGCACCACGCCTAGAGTCGGACATGACTGGACTAAATGTCAGGGGAACCTTTACCTTTACTAGGAAATCTCCATAGGCTTTATCTGTTGTACACCAAGTTAAGTGATTCACTAGGAAATAGGATATGTGTACAAAGATTTCTTAACTTAAAACAATTTACTTACAAATGTGCGGCTGTTTGTGTAACTGCACAACAGGGTTTCAGCCAGTAGAAATCAAGGAATCACTTCCAGTCTGTTTTTTGGTCATACTAGAGTGTAATGGAATGTTGGAAGATTTTAATTACATACAGGGAATTGGCTTTTGCATTTATATATAGACAGAGTTCATAGTTTGCTTTTCTAACTAATCATTTTCCTCCTATTCTGCAGGAGAAGATGTTTGGTCTTATGCAAAGGGGCTTCCTCACTTGTTTCAGCAGGGTGGTGTGTTCTACAATATAATGAAGAAAACAATGGGTATAGTTTCTAATTGTCCTTGTATATTTTTCCATCTAGCTATCCTATTTTGTTCTTGATACACTGGTATTAATTATCTGTCTTTTACATGGAAAACTGGTAGATATTGTTGTCATAGATTGCTATAATATCAGTTTCTGATTGTGCATATATAGTTGAGAGCAAAGTATATTACTTCCTGTTTTGCAGGAAGTTGAGGTATATGAGAACTTCCAAGGTTGCTTTATCACAGAGACATTTTTAATACGCTTATTGAACTGAACTATGTATGCATTCTATTTATTGGAGAAGGACGAAATGCTGAATTATGAACTAAAGACCAAAACTGAAAATGAAACCTGGTTCAGTTATGAAGGAAGTGAAGTTCTAAAGAGCTGTATCTGCTGCTCTGATTCAGCCTGCCACTTTTCTCCCCCTGCTGTTGAAGACCAGAGCACTTTTCAGGGCTACATTCAAGCATGTGATGTACAGTATTTACTTCATTGCCACATACAAAAGCTATTAATGTGCAAAAGATATATCTTCCTTACAGTATGGCCCGTAAGAATCTAATACAGTACAACAATCATAATTAACCTTGCTATGCTACTTGTACCAGTGTTTGAGATAGTACTTCACAGTGTTTTCTCCAGTTCCCAGTAGAAAAGGATGCACACACGTGCACACACACATATGCACACCGGTATAGTGTAATTTTTTTAACTTGCAGTCCAAGCTGACAGGTACTTCACATTGCCTGCTTTCTCATATGTAGCAATTATTCCAACTTCAGGTCAGGATTTTTGTTTTTAAAAAATTATTATTATTCAATTATTTTAAAAACGTCTGGTTTATGAATATGGGATATTATACAATACAGTACTGTACAAATTTATTCTACAGCCAAAGGCCTGATAAAGATATTGTCATTCTGTGTCCATGATTCAAAAACCCATGAAATGGCCCGATATTGCTGTACAATATCATGCCTGCATTGCCAGCAGGAAAAAGAATGCCAAGCTTTACATAGCAAAGGGCAGCCTGAATGTTGACAGCACCACTGGCAGCAGTCAGAGTGGTCTACAGGATATCTTCTGCTCACTACAAAGTGACATCACATATAGGAAAATCCCAGAAACTCACTAGTTTTTTTCATAAGTTAACCACTTCTCATCCAAACAGACTTGTTTTTCAACAAGTCTGAATGGGCCATTTCCTGGTTTTTTGAATGTTGGGTACAGAAGCATAACATCCTCCATTCATAAACTGGAGGTATTTTGAAGAATTGAATTTTCTAGCTTTTTAAAATGGGCATTTAAATATGCATACATTACACACAAATTGCAACACAAATTTCCCTCATATAGAATTACCCAGTACTAGAGGATTCCAGAAGATGAATACATGACCTGTACTATGGTTACTGGGAGAAGGCAGAAGCAAGAACAGCTTGGATGTGGCTGTAGTCCCTCTGCCAAAATATTTTGAAGGGCTGTTTTGGACTTATTGAAATGGTGGAGGAAAGGTGTGAGTAGGTACAATACACAGAATGAAGAAACATACACATCCTTTAACCTCTAAGGTAAACTAATGTTGCCATGCTCGCTCTGCAGAATGGAGACTAGACAGTTATGTTCCAGTTTCCAAACCCTTTCTTTGAGTTAGGCAAGCTGAGTAGGGAAAGCTGTATCGGACCAAAAGCTCTATGGGCTTGTTGTCCATATGCATGTTTTTCAAAAAATGTCCCTTTTCCTTTTGAGTTGAAAAACAGGTAAACGTTGAAGTTAGCAAAGAATATAACTGAAAACCAAGGTCAAAACCATCCACACTATGTGAAAGAAAGACAGTGAAGAAAAGCAGGGACAAAAATAAATTCATTTGAAATGTGGTGTTAGTGTAGATACTAAATACAGCCAGAAAAGCAGAATAGTGGGTGCTCAGTCAAATCAAGCCTGCACATTCACTGCAGGAAAAATTAGTCAACTGAATCTATCCTCTATGCACATATAAATGACTAGATAGGCTGGGTATAAATACAATAAATAAATTAACTATAATGGAAATACAGAAGTTGCCAGAATTGCTGGGAAAACTGGAGAGGGGCAGTAAGAAAAGAAGACCTAACATGAGATGGGTTTACTCAACAGAGGAACCTGTAGCAGTTAGTTTGCAAGATCTGAGCAGAACTCATTGGAAAAGACAATATTACTAGGAAAGGAGGGCAATAGGAAGAGAGAACAATGTACCATGAGATTAATTGGTTTGCAAGATCTGAGCAGAGCTGTTGATAGGATATTTTGGAAGTAAATAACCCATATAGTCACAATACATCAGAAGTGACTTGATGGCACATAACGTCTCTGGAGTTTTTTTCTTAATTACCCAATAATTGTATAGTGACAATATGGGTGGAATAGGTACCCAAGCTCTGCTGACATTGAGGTACATCATCCCCAACCTCAAAGCAAAAAACGTAATTTCACTGCTTGAATGAGTGAGCTTCTGAATATTTATTCTCTTATTTTAAAATATCTTTTTTACGTATTTTTATACCAGAAATAGAATCTCTCTTTAATGTCTGTTTGGCCAGGAAGGTGTTAAACATTTCTTCCTCAGAGAGTCATTTAAATTCAGCCTGACTGTCAAAATCAAACTCTCCTTCGGAGTGCTACATTTCTTCCTCAGAGAGTCATTTAAATTGGGCCTGACTGTCAAAATCAAATGTTCAACTCTCCTTGGGAGTGCTCAAACTGAAACAACGTTTATGTTTAGAATGTTCTGCTTTTAAGAAAGCCAGAAAGTCAACCTTTTCCATCTTTTGAAATTGCTTTTTTCAGAGTCATATTAGAGCCCTGGATGCCTGGATTCCTTCCAAATAAATAAATAAAAAAAAGGGGTCTGGCACTGACCGTTCTCTGTCAAGTTAAGCAAGTTTTCAATATATCTGATCTGCCTCCTTAACCTTTTCAGTATATCTGATCTTCTTTAAATCTGCAGACAGAAAAGATCTCGGGTGTCTGCATGTGTGTGTGTGGTAAAACAGCTTCACTTAAAAAAAAGTCTTAACTTGAGAACCATTTGCCAAATGTCCTAAACTTGGCATAGAGCAGGAACAGACTGTCTGCTACATCTGTGCCAAATTTGTCCTGAAGTCCAGTTTCAAAGTTATAATTTTTGTTTGGTGTCCCCCTATTTTTGGAGTTGTCTCAAAATTGTGAAATGCTGAATTGTGTTGTCACACTAAGAGAACAGGGAGCAATGATTGCATATAGTGTTGTGACATTGTATAGTGATCTGTACAGATGTTTTGATGACATCTGAATAATCCCATTACAAGTATTTTCTGGCCTTCCACAGATGTTAATAATAAATATCATAACATAAATCTCAGAAGTTACAGTATTACAACCAGAAAGCCTTTCTATTTTGCTTTCTATCTTTATAAAACTGTTGGATATCATGTTTTTCTATAACTGATGTGGCATATTCATATCAATCTTAGGGGATGTATAAACTAAATTCAACATTAGTCACATCTAGAGTAGACCCATGGAAGTCAGTCAGGCTTGTTAATTGTGGCTAGGCAGGTTCTGTAGATTTATTCTTAAGTAGTGTTAGATTTAGTTGCATGCACACACACACATACAAACACATGAATTGTGACACACACACACACACACACAAACACATGAATTGTGGTGTCTGCATGTAATGTCCAAGTTCCTAGAGAGTAACAGTGGAGTAAGGCTATTTCATTTGGGCCTTGATTGTGCACTTTCCAAGGGCATCTTTTTGGCCATTACAGAAAATAATTACGTAAACTTTCACATTTGACCCAACAGAACTTATGTTTGGTTCTTATTTTTGATTCGCTTGGAATTTAATGTTACATTGAATTTATCTATAATGCAAAGACAGCATTTTATATTTTGTTTTATTTTAAATCACTTTATGAAACAGAATATAAATATGATCTCTTTTTTCCCCGATAGGCCTGGCTGATGGTAACCACTGTACTTTTCCACACTTGCCTGGTAAGACTTTTGTATACAATGCAGCAGAAGATAGATTAGAACTCTGTGTGGATGCTGCTGGTCATTTCCCAGTGGGTTCTGATGTTGAAGACTTGGTTAAGGAAGCCCTAACTCAAGTGCGTTCTGAGGCTTCTTCAAGAAGCAGGGAAGCAAGTCCTTCACATGGAGTCCTAAAGTTAGGTAGTGGTGGAGTTGTTAAAAAGAAGTCGGAGCAACTTCATAATGTAACTGCATTTCAAGGAAAAGGCCATTCTCTGGGAACTGCAGCTGGAAGTCAGCAGCTTCATCAAAGAGCTAGAGAATCTCTGCTTGCTAGAAAGCAAAGCACAGGCACGGATTTCAGTCTCAGTTCTGCCAAATCTGAGCCTTCTGCATACACAGGCGATTCTGGAAACAGTGAGCTTATACGGATAGCTCCTGGAGTCGGAACAATGAGAGACAGCAGGCAGCTTGATCCTAATTTGATTGAGGCTCAGCGAAAAAAATTGCAGGAAATGGTTTCTTCAATTCAGGCTTCAATGGACAGACACTTGCGGGATCAGAATACAGAGCAAGTGGCAACAAATGATTTCTCTCAAAGGAAATTGGAGGCAGCAAGTTCATCTGTTAAAACAAGAAGCCCTCAGACTGCTTTGTCTGAATCATTTACCTTATCAAGTGGCAGTGGACATTTGAATACAGAAACAACTGATGGTAATGTGCCCAATGCAGTGGGAACAACCTTCCCCACAAGATCAAAAGCGCAAAAAGGAAATTCTGTTGAAGAACCTGAAGAGATGGACAGTCAAGATGCAGAAATCACTAATACAGCTGAGCCAATGGATCATTCTTGAAGAGTTAACAGCTGATAAAGATAGATTACTGTGCAAATGTAATGTTTGTTGGCTGGGCCACATAAATTTAGTCATTGAATCTTGTATGTTTCAAAGATTATATCTTACTCATTGCATGATAGCAGATATGTGATAGACAATAGCTTTTAATATGCCATTCTGCTGCCCAGGCTAGCTCTCAGTTACTGTAAATTAGTTATTAGGATATGCACTGAGATGAATATCTGCTGTAGATGTGGGATATCAATTTTTTTGTCATTTTAATTCCATTAATGTCTTATCCTCCAGTCCATGTAAAATCATAAATTTATTTTAGTATTGATAAGTCAAAATAAACCTGACAAATATAATGTGTTTTCTCAGATATTGGTCCGTTCGAAATTACAGCATAAAAAGACCTTTCCTTATATCTGAATATTTCTGTTTATTTAGGTTCATCAAGTTTCTTAAAATGCCCAGATATATTTATTGAGCTCTTACTAAAGTAAATTTAAGAAATGATAGGCAAAAGCACCAGATTGTATGAAACGATGTTTAAACAGGGAAGGTGTAGTTATACATGGCAGTCTGAGCCAGCATAGCTTTTTTCATTGCTTTGCTGGCAAATGATTCCATGATTTAGCTTTCAGCTGGTAAGGTACCATGGTGTGCTTTTATATTGAAAGATGACAGTAAGCAAGTATTTTAAGAACTATAGTAGACTAATAAGAAATTTATTTGTACAGGAAATTTTTGAAAGTAGCCATTGGTTACCTGTGCTGTTTATCAACATTTTCTAAGCATGTTGGATTCATGGGATTTAACAGAAATTTCATCAGAGGTGTTTTCACTTACATTGTAAAATGTCCTTTTTACTTTCCCTGGGAATGGGAAGTATTTTGTCATTTTACTTCAGTGCACCACATCGATTAAACTGTCATCCACTTAAACAGCATATTCATCAGATCTACAGTGCTGATGTTTATGAAGCAGCCTTTGTGTCTGCTCCATAAAGATAGAATGTTTATCTTGAAACTAATGTTGCACTTTTGCCTCTTTGCAAATTTCTGTTTCATGTGCATTAATGCTGATTCATCAGATGAAAATAAACTTTGAAAGAGTGGACAGCTTAAGGGACAGAAGGATATTGAAATTTCAAGTGTTTAGTTATTGAAGCCAGTGATTGTGCACTGGTCCACAGATATAAAGTTCGTATGATAAATGTTTCTTTTCTGAAAATATGCTCACAATTTCTGCAGTTATAATCACAAAAGAAACAATGCTGTGATTAAATATCCCATGTAATTGAAAGTTTATTTTTATATGGGACATTAACTGAAGGTACAGCTGCTTCAGTTCATTCAAGTATATTAATCTATTCAAACACTGTTTTCTTTTCTCATACAGGAAACACCTTTTATCACCTAGTGCACTGCCTATATATAAAGTACATAGATCACATTCTCATGAATAAATTATTTTAAATATATAATTTTACTATTATTGCTGCTTACTTTGTTCAAGAAAGTGTATCATAGAGATATGGAGTTAAGTCTGATGCACATCCCCTTGAGAAGAAGATTTCTGATGCTACATCTAGAAAACCACTATAACGACGAACAAACGCACAAACATGTCTGTGGCCATTATCCAGGGGAACAATTTATGCATTCATAAGAGGATGTGCACGGTGGGAGAGCTTTATGGCACAGCAATAGTCCATGTCCTCCTTTGAACAGTAGCTTGTAATACAGTATGAGACAGCTGATATGACAAACAGGAAAGCTGCTGTCCTATCTCTGATTAAGGGGCATCTGCACCGAGTATTTGTCTTTTCGAAAACAGGATCAACAGGTGTGGCTTCCAAGAAATAACACTTGGAACTATAGTACTCTTAGTGCAAAAAAAAAGTTGATTCAGAATGTATAGTACATTCACAAAATTGTGATTCCTATTTCCTAGGTGAGGACCATCACAATTTAGAATTATTATTATAGTCTGTTAATCTTATTAAATATGTTGACATAACTTTCAGTGGCAAATTGCTGCAAGTTGACAAGCCAATGTGGATATTTACTATCTCATGTGCCTGGTGTATGATACCAAACCCCTGCACCAACTTCTTAACTTGTGGCAATTTGCCACTGAAATTTATGCCAGTGGAGTTGCACTGATGGGTGCAACTGACAGGATTCTCTCCATAGTGTTGATAAATAGCCTGACAATTTGGTGACTTCTGTAATGCAGAAATAGCATGATGGTTCTCACCAGCACTTGCATAAAATTTATGTTTAATAAGCAAGAGCCGTGTAGCTAGTAAGGCATGGGTGACATTATGATTTCATCTGTTTACAGTAAGATAGCTCTTGAATATGAGTTAAGATTTTTTTATAGTAACTCTTTTCTTTGAATAATGGTATTATGACATTTTTCTCTTAACCAAAAAATAACACTTCTGGTTGTTCACTTTTGCATTTTCTCTTTTGTCTGAGATATTAAAAGATTGTTTGTAGTGCTCAGTTTTAAAATGAAAATATTCAAAGCTTAAGAAGTATCTGAAAAACACTGCTGTGTCTCTAAATGTTGGGGGGGGTAATTAAATCTAAATTCTTAATGTTAGATGTGCACTCAATACATAGGCTGATCTGCATAAAAGATGATGGGACTTATGAACACAAAAGAAATGTAGATGCCTCATTGCCTTTGATGGCACCTAACTACAACTCACTTTTTGGATTTCACTGTGAGGTTAAGCATATGTTCCTGGCTTCAGGTTTTAGCTTTAATGGGTGAGTGTCAAATATTAACTGCATTTGTGGAAGATGAGAATAGTTCTGGTGAGAATATTAAGGACAGCTAGAATAAGCTTCAAAATTTGCAAAGTTGTCTGTATTAACTTGTCAACAGGTTTTCTAGGGTGCACGTATATGTCCAGTTTGGCAGCAGAAATACCACTGTTTTAACAAATCAAAGACTAACCTTCCTGATTAAACAAGCTTGTTTTTTTTCTTTAGCAGAAAAGCAGTTTCATACATACACAATAATCTGAGCAGAAAATTGGACAACAGTAGTAGCATAATGGTATTCAATACCTTGGTTTACTAAGGAAAGGAGTAGATCCTATACAATCAGAAGCAACAAACAAAAAATGAAGTACATTTGAAAAAATTCTGAAATTTAAGTTTGTTGGTGTTTTTTCATTTCAGATTTAAACATATTTTAGGGTATATACCTTTAACCCATGACTATACTATATTTTTGGGGGAATTTAATGGTAGAAAGTCAGTGTCATTTAAAATACCAAATGCTAAAATTGTTCCACAATTGCAAAATGGCTTGTTCAGTTAATTTAACTTTGGTAGGTGTGTCGCTTGTTAGCTACACAGAAAGAGCATAAAAGTAAAAAAGGTCTTGATTTTTTTAAAAGAGAGGATGATTATTTGACTATATATTGTGTTTCCTTTTTGTAGCTGTAAGATTATTATATACTTTAAATTGAACATTACATATGGGGATATTGGTTAGGATTTGCTGTGATGATCTAGATGTGGCTTCTAATTTCCATTTTAGTAATTATCACAGAAGAGCACTGTTCTGATCGTATACTAACAATGCTTCAGAAAGGGTATATTTTGCAAGACTACAATGACTGACTTTTTTTCTTGAGATATGACAGTCTAGTGGAGAACTTTAATAACCACTCCTCCATTAGTGCATTCAACCCAGCTGTATTTTGTTTGTCCAAGTTTATGAGAGTCCTAAATCTTACTCATTCTAGTGGAACTCAGTTAAATGTATGCTCAGGATCTGCAAATTTATGCTATCTGCCCTTGGTCATTTTGGCGTCTTGGTTGGCATTCAGAATTTGGCATTCTCAGGACAAATATTAACATTATGCTCCAGCAAAAGGCTTTTCATATATCATACATTTTAAAATGTTCCTTTTAAGATTATTTAAAGTAGCATTCTTGCTTTGCCACTCTGATTGTAGTAAAGTTAAGAGACTGAATGGCGATTGCTATTTTTTAGATTTTATTTTACTGCGAATTATTACCAGGAAGAGAAATAGTGCACTTTTGCAAGCAATTGGTTTAAAAATTGTATAAATAAGCATTAGTATTGTATATATTTAGGAAATCTTTTAAAACAGCAAGTGCTTTACATATGAGTTAAATTAGAATAACAATTATACCATGTTCACAATGCTGGCTGTTCAGCACATTTGGATTTTTTTTTTTGGTGATTGCTGTACTAACTCGTTTTTTATTTGTAATGTAACAATAGTGTATTATAACTGTGTACTATATTACACTTTACTGTACAGTATTTGGAATTCTCTTTGATTGCAATATTAAAAATACAAGCTAAACAACTATTTTACTAATTTCTGTAGCAAAATTAGCACTATTGAGTGTAACTCACCTTTCTCCATGCTTTCTGTCAGGAGTACATGGAAGGCAGCAGGACTCCAAAAACGCTCCTTCCCAGTGCAAAATTTCTGTAACAGCATGTGCTTACACATGTAGGAATTTGTCTTAATTATGTTAGCAGAGTGGAGCAAGCTAGTAACTGGACCTTATGGTGATGAATTACAAGTAGTTCCTGAGGATGCTCATTGTATGATTAAAAAGAAAATTTCTTTATTCTAAGAAATCTATTCAACATGAAATAAAATAAAACTCAACTAGAGAAGCTCCCATATGGTTTCTATGCATGCAAGTATGCTTGAGACAACATCATGGTTTTCCATCCACTGGAGAAGAGAACAAAACTATTTCCTTGAAGAAGGGGGAAGTGGCTTATTTATTTATTTATTGGATTTCTATCCCGCCCATCTAGACCAAAGGTCTACTCTTGAGAAAGTGATCAATGAGTCAACTACAACTCAACTGTTAAGAGTAGAGAAAATATTCCACCTGTCTTCCTGTTGATCTGTCTCCACTCAAATAGTTACGGTATTTTAAATACAACACTGCAGCACTTAATTTAACATACCTTCCCAATGATGCTTGTGTAAATTTAATAATAATAATAATAATAATCTTAGAACTGCAGAGCTAAGAAGAGACCCTATGGATCTTCAAGTCCAGAAGTGACAAGGAGACAAAGTGGGGAGTCAAACTCCCAACCTCCTAAGCCACCAAGCTATTCAGCAGTTCTTCTCTTGCTGGATATAGAAGCGGTCTCTGTGTGGATGCCCACAATCAAGTTTCTTTATGGATAATATTCTACCTCAATAAGAGAGAAAGTCTCATGTCTTTCAGTAGATGATAAGTCACATCAGTGTGCTCTGTGGATTTATCTTCTCAGTCCGTGAATTTTATGCAACATGGAAATTGTCTTACATAGTCTATCCAGCCTTTGCTTTATTAATGACCATTCACACTATGCAGAGTCAAATAATCTCTTGGCATGCTTGGGCAGCTGACATACCCTGCTTTGATAGAAGATATTGCTAATGCTTCTTGCTTGCCAACCTGACTTTTCCACTTTCATGGAAGAACAGATTTCAGCTGATAGATATGATAGCAGTCTGTTGCTCTGGCTTGTCTTTTTGTTGTACTCCTTTCTTGCTCGGTAAATTGTTTTTTTCTGCACAGTATTCCAACTGCTGCTGCCATGTCTGATCTTGTGGTACGGCTAGGTACAGCAATTTTACTATAGCAGTTCTGTATTGTTTATTCTTTGGCAAGGATCCACTTCGTACATTTTTCTTGAGAAGCCTATTTCCACCAGTGTAGCCACTGTATATAATCTCTACTCCCTGAGTATTATAGGATTTTATTTATCTGGTTTTTACTAAGAAGCTTTTCTCTTGATGTCTCCTACTTTTTTTCTCTTCATCTGTATTCAGATAGTATAGGACCTCCTTGTGATCAGCTTCATGTTCACATGCTATGCCCAAGTCATTAACATATATCAGTATATAGTTCTGCCTGTAATTTTTGTATTGCGTGTAGTGACATAAGCGTGCCTTGCTATGAAGCCTTTTCTGATGAGGGTCTGCTTTAGTTTTACATACCATGCTCTTCCTTCAGTCCACAAAGCTTCTCTGAAGGTTGCTTGCAGGAGTCTTCTTTCTTAGTTTTTCAAATCCAGGAGACCACTTCATGTGGAAATTGTCCTTGTTTCTACAGATAGAAGGCTGTCTTGATACCTTAATGTTAAACATGCATTTTTCCGGATGTTGCCATGTTTAAAGATACAGTATTCTTGTTGTGAGATGGTGCACTATAAGAGCAAAGTGCTCATCAAAATATTTTCTGGAGCAAGCGCGTGGCCTCGAATCTCTGAATTGCTCTTTCTGCATTTTGCTTCACTTGGAAGACTTGTGCCCCATAGGATTTTTGCCTATTAGTAGCTCTCCCTCAAGTTGCATTGTTGCATAATCTCCCTTTCTTTTTGTGCACCCTTTCTCCATTCACTTGCTTATACTGCAGTTATTCTCTCAGTCTCATCTGCTTCTTGAAGATTCCTGTGATGTCACTATTCCTTGAGAGGTAGTACAGTCATTTGCCTTTGTTCAGTCAAAATGAGCATCTGAGTGCCAATTTTGGAGCCTGGTCTGTTTCTGTGGTAACGTCTAGCTTTAAACTTCCTCCTGCTTACTCTGTATCACTTTCTGCTTCTGTGTGGACTTTTATTTCTTCACCCTTGCTTGGTGAAGCAGGTTTATATGCTTAATCTCTGTGTAAAATAATATGGAGGATAGGCTATTACCCAAGCAGCAAATCCCCCCTCTCCACATCGCTGAAATAGTCCAATGGAAAGGCAAGAGCCAATACAACTGGTTCCAGCAACGTCACAGGAGTTGCCAGAACGACACGAACTGCCTACGGGACTCTGGCTCCAGATTTTGCCTCGAGGTTAACTCCTGAAGCCTTTTCCATCAGTGGATATAGCCACAAGGCAGTGGAGGTTTGATATTAGAGTTTTCCTTCTCCTAGATGGGCTGCCTTCCAAGGCTGACAAGCCCCACTTACCCAGCCTGCTCCCTCATGGCATCGACGCCGATGGCGGCGCCTCAGTGGGGGTATTCTTTCAGCAGCTGTAAGATCCATCTTCGATCTTCCAGCAGGTACATCACATAGTATCTGGAATAATTATCTACAGAAGTAAATAAGTAATGATTTCCTGATTTAGAACAGGTTGGAATAAGTCCAAATTTATTACTATTCATTAATGCCTAATTATATAGTCCTGCTGTCTACCAAAGGGTAGAGTTCCTGAATTTAAGATTATTTAAGTCTGAATTATGTTCTTCTAATTATGTGGGTTGAGTGGGAAGCTTTACTTACGCATTGTTATTGGTGTGAGTTGTGTAGGTGCCTGAAAACAGAATAAGATGGGTACAGTTCCATATTGATGTCAGTATAATTCCCTGCGGAGAGGTGGCTGGTTTTGACATAGTTGCCCAGACTACATAGGAGGAATTGTATTCACAAATGTGATAGCACTTGCTGCAGTTGAGTTTGAAGTGCCACTTATATGGATAACTGCGTTTAGAACTGAGTTTTATTTAGTCACACTGAAGAGATCAGATGATGGAATTCTGACACATCCTCCATCTATTTTATGCATTACGCATAGACAGCCTGAATCAATATGTTGAGTTACCTTGCAGTGCTCTATTCACAACTTGGTAAATACCATCGAGTTTTTGGTGAATCAATATGTTGAGTTACCTTGCAGTGTAACTCAACTTGGTAAATACCATCGAGTTTTTGCCAAGAATGGCCAGAGAGGCATATACGTAGAATGCTATCCAAGGATCCCATAACAGTCCATATCTTTCCCCATTCTTGTAAGAGTGGCGGAATTTCTGTTCAGATCTCTGCCAGGGCAAAAATTATTCAACCTCCTGAAGATAATCCCTCACAACAGCACAAATATGGAAAACAAATATTGTCCAAAGCATACCTGATGCAACTAATTACAGGCTTCATTAGTTGCTCCAGGTGTGCATGAGCTGGAACATGTGAAATACCTGAACTGGCCAGGGGTTTGGTGAGTGTCATGTTTGACTGCATGATAGAAATATGGTTAAATCAAAAGAATGGTCCACAAAGTTGAGAGAAATGATCACTGCCCTTCACAAGCAAGGGAAAAGATTACAAAAACATAGTGAAAGCACTGGATGTTCCTAGAGACATTGTTGGAAGCATAGTTTGCAAGTTCAAAGTTAAAGGAACAGTGGTTATACTACCTGGACAGGGCAGAAAAAGGAAGCTATCAGTGGCTGCAACCAGATTTCTGAGAAGGTAGGTTGAGAAAAAAAGGATGATTATTGGAGGAGAAAAATACCTTCTAGACCTTCTTATTGGGGTGAAGCTGAGGCGAAACGTGAAAGGTTAGAATGGAGAATGAGGGGATACCTGGAGGACCATGGCAGACCGACATCCCTATAAGGGAACCCACCTGGGTGGATAACTGGGATGAGGACACAGTGCCCTTACTGGAAGGCAAGACCGGACTGGTATTGAACCGAAATCTATCCCCGGACTGGCCCAGACTGTGGAACTCTGAAGGACGGAGCCCTTTAAGGTTGATGTGGTGTTTGCCCTCGTGCCCCTTGCCTCGGCCTCCAAACACAGAGCACACAACTACAGTACTCCTTTTTACCCCACTGCCACCAGTTGATCACTAAATCAACATTACTTCTGGAAGGATGAAGATAAAGGTCCAAACTTCACTGTCTTTTAAATAAAACTTGTTTATTGATTACAGATGTTTGATTATTAATCATAGGTAACTTCTATTATCATCAGTCTCAACCTTCTATTTGTCATAACAGTTCTTATTCATTCTTCACTCTAACCACACCTCAGATCTCCCAAATACCACACTCTATCTCTCCACTCTGACTCACTCTTTCTCTCACTGACTGACTCTTACTGACCGACCCACTCTCTGACTCCGCCTCTTTATTACGTATCTCTCAGCTCCGCCTCTCAGCAATATTAGCCTACAACATGAATATTCATAACTACTTAACATAATAAGGGTGAATGTTACAGTTGATGATTGGAAGTTCCTTGCCGACCCGTTGTTGGAAGGTGATAGATGTTGAAATGTGTTTGCTGATATTGGTTTCCTGTTAAACACCGCAATAAATGTTACACCTGTTTCAAAACCTTGCAAGTCTGCTGATTTATTTGGACAAAAACAAGAGCCAGAGTTTGAATCCTCACATATTGACGCACAACCGGGGGGGGGGGGCTTCGATATCAGAAGGCCCAGCAGACGAATGGCTCCGTAAAGTAACCGAAGGTCAAGAAGCACTGATGAAACAACTAGCAGTTCAACAGAATTTACTGATAGAACAACTGATGAAGACCGATTTAATGACCCCGTCAACACCA